TTTGTGCCGATGCCCAAGGCTTAAGTTTGATCTCCCGCACCTGCATGTGGCCTCTTGAAAGAGGTCATCCTCTTTGAGCAAGATGTCAAAGCTGCGAAACCCAAGTCGCGAATCATCGATGCATTTCCGGGACCAGTTCCGGACCAACCCCGGACCAATACCAAACCAATGTCATACACAAACCATGCCACAGCTCATGCTCACGTGAGCTAGTCCACACAAGTCGCATGCATGGTACGCTCGTCTGGAGACTTTGGACATACTGCTTGGTGTTACTGTCGTCGGCCCGTCCAAATGTACATGTCAGTCAGTCCCCATGCATCACCTTTCCGCATTTACGGCTGCGGGGGGCATCCACGTGTACATGAGAGTTAGTCCACCTGCATCACATGCTCGTTCGTACAGGTTGAACACCCTGCTTTGTGTTACGGGGTTTCGCTCGATCTGATGAACTGGACTGGAGCCGCGGACGGTGAGAAAAGTCGTGCGAACTGCCAGCTAGGAAGTCAAGATGCACCATCCTGACGCTGCGGCTCTGATTGGTGACATGGTTGTTCTAGAGTGGGCGGTAAAAATCAACACAGACTAAGTCCGCCGAGGCCAAAGGCCTCTGGCGTCTTGATGGTTAATACTAACCAACCCTCTACCTAATCCTTCTCCCCGTGGCTCCAACGCAAACTTCCACCCGTTTTTAGCGCCTGTTTTCGACCCCCTTGCCCGGCTTCCGTCTTGTCACGCGTGATGTTCCCGATTTCCCACGTTTCCCCCTGTACTTCCCCTCAATTGTTGCTGATTTGTGCCTTCCCTCCCCCCCCCTCCCCCCCGCTCCCTTTTCATCGCCGGCCTTCCCCGTTGGCCGCCTCTACCCTTCCAAGCCACTTCCCGCTCCTTCTTTGTCTTTTGTTACTTCTATTTTCCCGGTGCTTTCCATCCTCACCCTTGCTTCCTATCTTTCGCTCGCGTGTTTTTTTCCGTTGCTTACTTTTCGGTTTGCTTGTCTTGACTTCCCGGTTTGCTTCTCTTGACTTGTTTATTGTTCTATCCTGTCCTGTCTTCTTTCAAGCGTTCCTTCTTCTTCCTCCACGACCTGCCTTTTTCTTTTCTTCCACCTTTTCGTAGCTTTCCGGCCCCAAGCTTCCTCCTCGTTCTTGTTCCCCTTCCTTCTGCCGCGTCTACCCTTCCAAGCCACTTCCTGCTTCTTTTTTACCTTTTGTTACTTCTTTTTTTCCCGCTGCTTCCCATCCTCGCCCTTGCTTCCTATCTTTCGCTCGCGTGTTTTTTCCGTTGCTTGCTTTCCGGTTTACTTCTCTTGACTTCCCGGTTTGCTTCTATGGACTTGCTTCTTGTTCTATCTTGTCCTGTCTTCTTTCAAGTGTGTCTTCTTCTTCCTCGACGTCCTGCCTTGTTCTTTTCTTCCACCTTTTCGCAGCTTTCCGGCCCCAAGCTTCCTCCTCGTTCTTGTTCCCCTTCCTTCTGCCGCGGTTCTTTCTTTTCTTGGTCCATCATTTACCACCTGCCCACCTTCCTCCGCTACTTTTCCGTCTTTCCGCTTATTCGATCTGCCCGCTGCTTTCGGTCGACTGCTGCTTCCGTTGTTCTTTCCTTGGGTTCTCTTTTCTCTCTCCTGCTGTGTTCTCATTTTTGCTCCTCGCGTTCTTCGACCCTTCAGTCCTTACTGCCTGTGCTTCGTTCGTGTGCTTGTTTTTTGAGTGGTTTTGCCCTTTGGTTTCCTTGCTTCCTCGTCGAAGTTCCGTCGTTTTCCTGTCTTGTTGCTCCAGCTGTTTCTGACTTGCCTCTGGTATGCTGTTCCTTTTCCTTGTCTTCGCGGCGTCACTGCTAATAGCAGCGTAAATGAGCATTTCCGACAAGCATACTGCAGCCGCCAGCCGAGGCGGGCTGCGTAGCATTAAAATTACTATGACACACACACAGAGGAACCCTATCCAATCCTTCGAAACCCGCTCCTTGCGAAAGCAGCCTGACAGATGCCAGACAAAATTCCAGACCAACGGAATATCGCGCACCCTTATCCTGAGACTCTGAGCAGTCTGTTTCAACTCAGTGCGCAGTCCTGCATCGCCTGGCAAATCCGTGGCACTACGCTGCCACCTGTGAGGACAGCACATCAGTCATTGTCATAATATACATTTAGTGGTGGGTACGTTGTTTGCAACCGGGCGACGTGGGTCGGGTGTGAAATTTAGTCTTTGCACAAAGCTGCCTTGCAGGGTGCCCTTGAAGTTGTAAGACACGTGTGCGCTAAAGCCAAGCTATCCACAAACGGTCGCCAGGACAGTTTGCAGCCGAAGCTGGAAATTAAGCACCTGTCTGCCTGCGATACTTTACCGGAACCTGGAATTTTGAACTGTCCGTCAGCTATTGATCTCTGAACCCCTGCTCCAAAACTCTCGAAAACTCAATCCGACGAAAGTCACCCTGAGCTGACACATCTCGTCACCACAACTCTCGTTGGGGGGAGCGCAGCATGCGAGGTTGCCCCGCGCCTCTTCAGGAGAGGGGCGCGCCGTGCACAAAGCGATGCCAAGCAGCGCCGCAACCGACCTCTGCGCTTGTGTCAAGGGTAGACCAGAGAGATTCCTTCCCGGAGCTTTGGACGGAAGAAGTCTAGCAATCACTCGGTCCGAACAAAGACAGCCTTGCAGAAGGAACCCATGCCCGCAAGACTCGGTCCTTTGTAACAGATCGACACATCCGAACTCTGTATGCGTCCATGAAGCTGCGACCGACTCTACGGCGGCCCAGCTCAGTGTCTGACATGGCCTGAAATGCGACAAGAACTTTCTAGCATCTGGTTCGCGAGACGTGGAGCAGCAGAAAGGACTGCTTGGCCAAGTGTGCTTGCGCAAAGGCTTCAGCTAGGCAGGTTGCGCATACATCGAGGAATGATGGCTCGGGTGATCGAGGACGACATAGGACGACCATTTTCATCGTGGAATGTGCCACGTGTTGATTCAGGAAGGATATAGACACGCTTTGGCGATGCCTTGAGGAATCAAGCCTCTCTTAGCCGCTCCATGAGCAAGGGGGAACACAGGCATGATAATCCCTGGCATCACTCGTTCAGGACTTGTCACTACCACCGAGATGCGAGGTCTGTCAGCACATCCTCGGCGAAGTCCACTGCCAGCAGAGGATACAGACCTCGGCACGATGAACGCCCTGCTCTGTCTCTGATAAGAAACACTCACTGCGCCTCACACTGCTGTGGATTTTTCAGAAACAGAGTTGCCTGCACAGCAATGTCCGCATCGTAGGAAACGTGTCTCCGTTACCGCCCATCCTCCCCGTGCGCCCCTGTGTGAGCTGCTTGCCCTTTCAGACCCGCGGCCTCTGTTGCAAAGGAAGCCGAACAGTCCTTATGACATCTGGGTTGCAGAGGACACGTAACTTCAAGCTTCGATGCGCTCCACAACTGCATCAAGAAGGAAACGGATCACTCACCGAATGAGTCTGAGGTTCTCAGGTTGCTGCCCGGGGTCAACATCTATACCAATAAACATCCGAGTCTCGAGGGACTATCCACTTGAGCAGGTTGTGGGTGAAAATCTTGGAGACCTGCCGCCACAGGTGTACACTTCACCGAGCCTGTGGTTCAGATGCTCCTCCGAGGTTTGCGCATAGGAGTTGTACCCAGTTCGGCTCCCCGCAGCCAACGACCATACACTTATGTACACGTATGGTACATGGACCAGGCTTTGTCTGACATGTTGCACTGCCCGGGTTTGTGGAGAATCTAGACTTCTCAGTATTGGTGCTGTTGAGCTTCCAAGTGATGCCCCAAACTTTAGCAGGTCGACGGGCCCGAACTCGCCCCGACCGACAAGTCGCGCGATTCGGGTGTTGATGGGTTGATGTGCGAATCATTGCGTAAGCTCTTCGATGTCAAGGCCCAACGTGCCCAACCGCTGGTGGAAGACGGGCGGCCACATACCGGGAAAGCTATAAGTGAACACGTGCGTTCGGGTTTCTCCTTGGGCCCCGGAAGGGGGTGGCATTTGTTCAGTGAATTGGCCGTGCCTCTGAAGGAGGAGGCTGTGCATGCGGTGTGCTTGGTTGCTGCACATGCATGCAGATGGCTGGCTGCAAAGCATGGAGCTCTTGCAACCATTCGAGTCAGCAACTAACTGTAGCTCTAGAATGCTCTAGATATAGAAGTGATTGTGTTGGTTGAGATCCCACGCTTTGCAAACCTCAACCCGCACCCGATTAGTCATCAGCGCGATTCCGCCTAGCCTGGGCGCCTCTATCAGCCTTTGTAAGCCTCTGCCCTCTTCAACTCTGCCAGGGCGAACGCGGTGTGCAAAGATGGGGAAACCAGACAAAACATCACCCCAGACTTAAAAGTGGACGGAACACATGCACGCGGCGAAAGCAAAAGAGATAAACAAATTAAACGAAATTGAAACCAAGCGGCGAGCCACCCAGCCACGAACTGCCCTCAGTGAGAAGAACTGGGCTGAGGCGCTGCAAGGAAATCTGATCAGCAAAATCTTTTTCCACAAGTTGAAGCTGAACTTGCTGCATGTCTCTGTTACCTATCGCTTGAACTGGCGTCGCTATGATCACAATACCGAAATGTTTGTGGAACAGGCTTCCCTGTGTTCGGTTTCGCCGTCGTTTGTCTGAAAAGTCGTCCTCCAAAGCATGACGAACAAAACAATAAAAACATGCCCTCCGTGCATGCATGCATATGCACATACGATCACATACGTCAATCCTGGAGAGCACAGGCACTGGCGTGGCGCACCACCGCTTCCCGTCGCAGCTGCGCGAAGCTCAGGAGGACCTCTCCGACAACACGGGCTTCAGCCAAGGAGATTCGTAAACAGAGGTGGGGCAGATTCTGGCAAGTCGATGCATCGAGAATCAGGAAAGCCTTCGAGGAAGACGAAGATGAAGAAGCATGTTGGGGACACGCCATGCCTGATTCTTGAACCCTGCCAGCTAAGCGCGCCTGTCCGCCACTGTGGAGCTCGACATCACAACAATCCTCCGGAGGCACAATATCTCTTCTTCGCCTTCTTTTTCCAAAAAACGCAAACTGCATCAGATAAAAACAATAAAAAAACTCAATAAGCAAACAAAGCCGCATCAAACAATAAATGAATCCTGTGTTTCCAAGCCATTGGAGCACTAGCCGAGTATGCGGACATGTGCGTCAGCTGAATAGTAGTAATAATAATAATAGTAATAGTAACCACTGTTCACGGCCTCAGGGTTTTTGGTCTCTGTTTTGGTCAATACGTACGACTGTTTGCTGTCGGGCCCCAAAACCTGCTGCCTTGTCCCACAGGGCGCAGCTCTCGATGCCAAGGCGATGCCGGATGTCGGGACTGCCACGGGCACGAAGGTTGCACTGAAACAAAATCTGGCGAAACGGCGAAACTACAGAAGACAGCGGCCTGCCAAGCTAGCCTGTAAGGATCCAAAGCTGCGGGAAACAGAAACCGTACCATCAGGACGATTTGCGACCCGATGCCTTCACGCCAGTGTTCTTGCCTTCCCAACTTTCACCTTCTACCAAGCACAGCAAGCCTCGGAGCACAAAATCAAAATCCCGGCCGAAGGAGTCAAATCCAAGCCTCTCCTGGCCTGCCATATGCACACGGCCAAAGCCAGGGCCGGATGAAGAGCAAATGCATGGTCGCAGAACCTCGGGGCTTCCAGTGCAATAACACAGCTGTCACACCGGAGCATGATAGATTGCAGGCACTCACCAACAGCATTGCTCACTCAATGGCTGACCACAAGGACTACGAGTTGCCTGATAGGTCTTCAATCTTGACTCTAACAGGACGCGAGAGGATTGAAATTCTACCATTCTGCATTCTGCGGAACACTGCTCTAGCTAGAAACAAGGCGTGGCGGGTAGAACATACCAACCCAGCATGACGCCTCACGACTGCAAGACCCGGCCGACCTTCTGTCCGGAAGGCCAAAGTATGCGGGCCCGCGACATTGGACAATCACCGTCAGCGCCCACTTCTTCACTAGGATCGACGTCTCCCAAGAATCCTCGAGAGGATTCCGGCATTGAGCTTGCAGAAGCATTTGCTCTCGTGTATCCCGCGATACCATCGGCCACAAGCCCTCCATGGAGAAAGCTCGTGGTGCGTGATCTTGGCCATTCTAGTCTTGGGAATTGGGAAAGCAAGCTACAGAACCAGGGTACTCGTCCGGATGCAGTATGCTTGGCTTCATGAAATTTGGTGCTACAAAACTTCTAGAAGCCGTGTCTGCAACATCTTTCCGGGCGCCGTTCTTGGGAACTCCAGAGAGGCACCTGATGCAAAACAGCAAGTCGCGCACATCGCGTGCTTTTCCTAGCTGTCCGCCGGCACGCAACAAATGCCTCTTTTAAAATTGGTGTCGGCCTGTTTTCGAGGGCTTGGATCTCAACGCTGCCTCGATTTCGGGTAACTGTGTTGTGCCTGGCGGTGTCTTGGTCCAGGACGGCGACAGCGTGTGCTATGTAGTGGCAAGCCCCACCCACCCGACGATTGAAGATGCCGGCAGCTGTGCACCCCTTTGACTGTAGTGATGTATGCAGTGCGAAGTCTCGTGGCGTACACTTCCCTGTCCTCCTCTCGGTGGTTCTCCGCGTCTGTCAGGATGTGGGCGACAACACGGAAGAGGTGGTACAGCAACACACTTACCTTAAGCAACCAGATGCAACAGGTTGTTGCAAACGTCGGGTCCGGACAAGCCCCAGGACCGGAACGGATTGCGGAGCTCAACACTCCAATCCGCAAGAACTATTCTCCTCCTATAGGATTTGACTTGACCCCTGAAAGCGATATGCTGATTGCAGGAGCTACAATGTAGCTCCTGCAATCAGCTGACAAGTCTACGGTTAAGAAGTTAAGACTAAGATGGTCCTTGACACTCTGGATTAGGCGCAAGTTGAACTGCACTCGACAGGCTTTGGCAGAGTCGTCCTAGAGTATCCCAAATGTGAGTTCGGTCTCTACTTCAAATCTGCAACTTAAAAGCCCTGTCGAGGCAGCATCAATCCAACAGTGCCCGTCGTAGCTTTTGCTTCAAAGAAGTTGTGGATGTCGAAAGTTGTTTGGGCCTTGCTGACAGCCACAGCTTCTGATTTGCTCGGCTTGCTTCACTCGAAAAGAACTGCATCAGCATTCTGAACTCGGCTCTGTACTCAACCAGGCTGAGGGGCAACAGAGAACATCGCTCCCATGGACGCATAGTTCTCGGTTGCCACCTCTTCGCACAGCGAACACAAGACGAATGTGCAAAGCAGTGTAGAAGCCGTCGTGCCTAATTCTTCAACTGTAACTGTTAGCCTGGCCGCAGGGCACCAGCACCTCACTTCATGCCAAAATCTCCGAAACCGCATGCGGAGCATTTTATACCTGGCTTGTTTAACTTTAACTCTTTCCACACCGTACAATAGCCGACAGTCTTTGGCAATTCCTACCAGCTCATACCGCCCTCCTATCCCATGCATCCTGGAACTCAACTACTTTGAACTTGGCCCCTGCACAGCCGAAACCTGCGCATTTTCAGACCTAAGCAACTCTGGAGCCCAAGCCATGCACTAAGTCCTTGCCTGGACGTGGCTTGTGCGGAGGATGTAAAAGCTCAGGAAGACCAGGACCCAGAGTCCCAGAAAGCAGAGATTCACCTTCCCCGATGGTACATCGAGACTGCGGCTAAATCAGGAGGATGTTTTCAACTGCTACAAGACGTCGCAGTTCGTGCATGTTGCATGAACTAGTTGAACCTGTCGCTTCGCGAAGGGCTTGACAGAATCCTAGTTTATGCTGATGATGCCTATCCAAGGCTGAACAGAACACACCGCAAGGCGGAGCAAATTCACGGAATCACACAAACGCAGCACGGTCTCAATCGGGGGTACGGGCTGGACTGCAGCCAAGCTTCAGCGATAACCCGCGCTTGAAACAGCCTCCTCGCTACAGGCTACAATTAGCATTCTAATTGCTGCACCGCAGCAGCCGCGGACAAGTGTTGGAGCGCAAGATCGGTCGGTACACGGTACTCTGCTTCTTTCTGACGGAAGAGTCCTGTCGTGATGAAGCTGCACCAATCGGCCATCCACCTGAAACCCAAAGCCAGACGATTGGACGAAGCAAAGCTTGTGCTGGGCGAACGCTGCTTTGTGCTGGTTGCTGGAGGTCGCACCAGTTCAGTGTGTCCAGATGACATGCAGCTTGGTCGCCCGGCTCAGAGCCACCCGCCCACCTGAGAGATTGACTTCGACTGGCGATCAAAGCAACGCAAACGAGGCAGCAGCAGTGAGAACAAGCTTGTTGAGGGTTCACAGAGCTGCTCGCAATCAACTCCCGACAGCACGACCAGCTTTGTAGCTTCACGTCTATCACGGATCAGGCCGAAGTTGGCTAACAAAGCATGCAATCAAGGAAGCGAGAACTCCGAACATCTGAGGGCCCGGCGAAAGGCTGGCCTTGGCGCTCGATGAGTCTGAAGTGCCTCGGGGGGAGGCTTCTCTCCACAAGGAAAGCATCGAATCTCAAAGGTAACTACGGACACGGACCCACGATTGGACTTGCCTCCTTGCCTCGCTCTGGCTCTGGGTTCTTTTCTTACACAGAAGCCAGAACATCTCCGGTTTGCTATCTGATGCCAAAAACCCTGTGTGCACGAGGGGATCATGCAACTCGCCACAAGGCATGGACTCTGTGCAGTTCAACCCGTGTCCAAACCCAGCCTTCCAGGATCCCCAGCGGAGGGCGTAGCGCTGCTCCTCGAACAGGGACCACAGATCCAGCTGCCACCAAGCATCAACACAATGAAAGACGACTCCGTTGCCTAGTCCTAGTCTTACGCTTGGGATGCTGGCTGTGAACGTTCTGAGATAGGCGCCATGGGGTTACTGTGACTGTAGGTGTGCTCTTAGGACCCTAAGATGCTTCCTCTTGATTCCAGAGCATGAGCCGGACCCGAAAGGCCAGTGTTTGGCATAGTCTGAGCCATGTCTTCTATCTGCTGCTTTGCTGAGCAGTCATCTGCTGGTGTGCTTTCTATTCGATCTCACATGCATGGAACCTGGACTTTCACATCTTTACACGCATCTCGAACACTCAACCTACCAAGTGCACACGTGTTCCGTCCTGCCGGTGCCACGACTCAATGACGCATTGACCCCATATTGTGGTCGTCAGCCCGACCATCAGAGACCTCGTTGCCGTGAGGGGCTGGTTGGTTCTTTACAAACATGTCATACAAACAAGGCAAAACTCGTCGCAAACTTTTATCGAATCACAAGCTCGTCAGCGCAGTTTTCCGGAAACTTCAACACCAAGTGTCTGCTTCTCATCTCTGAACGATGGGGATCAACTGGCACTTGGTGTTTATTTGTGTCCACTACTCCTCGGATAGGATTCAGAAACTGACACTCCCCTCAAAGCACCGCAAAGGCTTTACCAAGCTGCCACAAAGGCCAGCGCCTCTTTGCTGCCTGCAGTCTGGGGCGCTTGGGATCTGACCCTCTTCTGGCGCCAGGTCTACTGGGTGCACCGGGTCACCCTGCGCCTTCGCAGAATGCCTAGGGTGGAGTTAAAACCCTGGCACCTCCTAATCCTAAAAGCCTGTAGCCTTCGCCTCATCATCTGCTACTATAGAAGTTGATCCTGTTCAAAGAACTCCAAACATCCCTCAGTCGAAAGCCCATGACTCCCAAAGCTTAAGCCAGAGCCCGCCTCGGAGTCCAACTCAGCTGCAAATTCGTCCACCAGTAGGAAAGGCTTCAACTTCTCCTGGTGAGTTCTTCAATTCTTTGTGCAGGCTTTGGCTGGCATCAGGCTTTCGGACTGTAGCTGCTGACAGTTGCGGCGAGCCCCAAGGTATGAAGCAATGCCACGTCAACAAAGCTGAAGTCGATCAACTGAATCCCAATTCCGCGCGTATTATTGCCCGCGTTCTTGAACCTGTTCATCCTGACATACCATGTTCGACGTGTCACAGTCACGGTGGCACGATGTGAACTGGCGGCCCCCCTGTACGGAAGCTCACAGTCTGGAGATGTCTGGAGGATCCCGAAGCTCTGCCTGTGTGTTCACCGCATGCACGACGTGCTGTGCCCAGTCCACGCTGTAGACTGCCAGCAGCGGAGCCAGCAAGACCGTCAAAGCGAAACCGTAACCTGGATCAAGAGCTTCAATGTTGGTGACGGGAGTTTGGGGACGTGTGAAGAGGTCAACGGCCTGCATATCCCGAAGCCTTGTCCTGCAAGCTTTGCTGTTGGAGGAAGTCGAAGAAACCCTACAATGGGCCCAAAGCCCAACAAAGACCGTGTGACTGGCTCAGCACCTGCCATCGATGTTAGTTACTTAGAAACCCTGAAGCTAGCTGGAAGGGCAAAACCGACGTCGAGAGGCTGAACAGGTGCTGTAGAAAGGCAAAGTAGAAACCGATTTGCTGGCCGAAGAAGTGCTGCAGCAGACTCGGAAGGCTCTTGTCCTCGGACACAGCACGAGCTTCTTGCACGGATGTTGCAGACATCGACAAAGGAAACCATCCATTCCTAGCAAACTGTAAACTCCCATCCGAAGGCACAGGAACCATAACTCTCTGTCTTTCTCTCTCTCTCTCTCTGTCTCCCTCCCTGCCAGATACCCTGCAAGGCACGACTACACCGGAGAGCAGGCCGCTTCGAAACCTCGGAGTCCAGTGAAAAAGAGGGAACCGTCTTGAAGACACCGGAAATTTCTAGGCAGATGGCAACTAAAAGAAGTTTTGCAGCAAGCCGCAGAGGCGAGCTCGGCAAGCCGAACTTGAAGCGAAGCCCCGAAAACGCGCCGTCCCGGGGATCCTGCAGAGCTCGAGGTTCTGAAGCTTTGGGGGCGGGCGCTGTTTCGGACTGCAAGTAATTTAAAGCAGCCCTGTCCCAGTCAGTCCATCGCCGTAACGCTGTAGCCAACAGGAACATGCCCAGTCTCTATCACCATTCTTATGCGACTCTGATGCCCGTACTGCATGCAGCCTTTGCAAACAATGTTGCTCCCCTCCTGCATGAGAAAGTAGTGAGAGAAGGCTGAAGGCACCTGTCACCAAAACTGCGTCCTACGTATCGTGTTGCTAGGTTCGGACCTTGCAATGAACGAGGCTCAACTCTGAGCAAACTCCACAGAACAAACGCACTCAACTGCAGTGCATGAAGCTTCTAGCGTAGCTCATGAGAGTGTAACCCAGCCACACCTGAAGTTTCCCAGGCTACCAGCTTGACACGGCTAGTTACCGGTAAGTCAACCCTTGTGACCTTTTTCCACGGGGGACTTGGGCCAAGTGCAATCGCGTACAGACATAGCTAAGGACCATAGAAATAGCAATGGAGGCAGGGTAAAATCTACACCCCCCTCGCCGTGCTGCTCGAGCTAAGGCGGATAGTACATGGCTCCAGGTTGCCCTGGGCTTCAACGGTTTTGAAGACTTGCCAAAGCGAGCATTTATAAAGCACAACGGGGAAGCCCTGCAGGTCCGAAGCAAATCAAAATGAGGACTCAGCGCCTATGGGTGCGGTTCCATGCATCCCACTCGGCCTGAGTGTAACCTCCACGACGCTGGCGATAGTACTCGTCCCACTGGGCCTGAGTATAGCCTCTGTACATTGGCTCAGGTGCTGTCGTGCGACCGCGTCCCTTTTGGGATGGGCGATTCTGGACTGCGGCCTGGCGATTGCGCTCTGCCAAACGTTCCGTTTGGTCTGTCTGGTTCTGAGCACTACGGAGGCTATCGGTAAGAATCTGTCCGATCTCAGTTGTGATGCCTTCAGTTGTGGTAGCCGACACATAGACCTCGCCGTCGAAAGTCAGGATCCTTTTCGCAGCGTCATTCACTGCTGCCACCTCAGCATAGAGTCGCGGAGGGAGGAATGCACCGAGGTAGGTCAAGCCGATGGGGACATCCGCGGTATCATCGATAAACCGCAAGTTCCTCAACGGCTCCACTTCGCAGTGGGCATAATAGACCAACTTCGCAGGCGGGACATTGCCACCACCATAATGGGAGCCGGCACGCAAGTAGCGCTGCTCCTCACTGCGTCCTGGATCGGGAAGCACAGCGTTCGACAGGTGATCGAATTTCTGCATGTCCTCGAAGTTGCGGCCCTCTTGCATCATCCTCACGTTGAACTGCGCGTCCTTCTCGAAGCGATCGGACACGGTGTCAAAGTTCAACTTGGCGGCCCTGATCTTTCGGTCTTTGGCGTCACGAATGGCGGCAGCCTCTGCGCTCATCTGACCACGTTTCTTTGGTCCCTCGCCCAGGCCTCGAAGGTCACTCGCAAGGAGATCATCGATGGGCTTCTGGGCTCCGGTCGCAGCGGTGGCAAGAAGGCGCTGGCGGAGTCTCGAATTCTCAAAGACTCGCTTTGTGATCTTCTTAGAATCATCCGTCTGGGGAGCCTTGCAACGGAGGCAGAACAGCATGCCATTGGCAACGACTGCTGCGCACTCGCGGCATGGGTGAGAGCCAAGTGGGTAAGGCTCATCTTCACCCGCATCCGTTGTATCGCCTTCATCGACTTCAACCTCAACCTCAACCTTGGTTTCGTCAAGGTCGAATGCACCAGCAGCATCAGCAGGCTCACCCTCGCGGGTGGCTTCATCCAAGTCCATGCTTTCGTCTTTCTCGGCGATTGCGGCGGGCTTGGGAACCACCTTCGGCATCTTCTTTGAAGCAATCGCTTTGGGAGCGATAGCCGCCTGTTTTGGGGGCGGTGCCGATGATGAGCTTGCTGCTGCGGCCTCCTCATAGTCGCGCTTGGCGCGGAAAATGCGCTCTGGCTCACCCTCGCGGGCGGCTTCTTTGTGCTCGGCGACATAGAGCGGGAGGTTCTTGTTGCTGGTGTCGATGGCGGACAGCACGCAATCGGGAGGCACATTGTCCCGTGTGAGGACGCCGTCGGTCTCCGTGACGAAGAAAACGCATCCAGCGGCGATTGCTCGCTGCGTGTCTATCGTCAGCTCGATCGGCTGGTTGGAGCGCATTCCACTCTTGTAGTGGGTGTCGTCCAACTTGTACGGGGACAGGTAGTTGTGGGACCTGTCTGACCTTGCGGAGCCGGCGATCATACCATCGCGGAGGATCCCCTTCATTCCCTTTTCATTCGTGCGGTGGAAGAGCTTCGGGGGGGTATCCTCGCGGGAGAGCACAGTGACCCCCCTGACGCTGCTCTGCAGGTCGGCCTCGTACTCGGACAATCCGCTGTAGAACCTGGTCGCCGCGTCCGGGTTATTGCCGATGAGCTTGGAGTTGTGCCCTTGGGCCATCCTCACCCGGACAGGGAATAGCGGTTGACCCAGGGTGTCCTTCATGGGGACATCAATGCCCAAAAGTCTGATCCGTCCCTTGTTATCGGCTTTCGCTGCGCGTAGCAGCTGCCTCACACCCCAGCGTGCGTTCCGTGCCGTGTTGAAGACCTGGAGCAGAGTGTCAACGTCTGCCCAGCACCCACGGTCAAAGATCAATGCAGGGAAGTCGTCCATTTCATGGCCACGCAGCAGCTTGGTGAGGAACTTCAGGTCACCGTGTTTGAATGTCACGTGCCTGTCTCCCACAATGTCCTCCGGGTTGAAGGGCTTCATCAAGTGCTTCTTGCCGTTGTAGAAGTACTCATTCGGAAGCTCTGGCACAGTGGCAGCCCCTTGCGGGGCGCTTTCATCAATGAACATGAGCCTTCGCATGGCGTCCTCGTCTCGGTCAGACTTCTTAGTCTTCTTGGGAGGCGCTGGCTCAACAACACGTCCAATCGATGATGGGATGGGGTCGACTTGGTCGCCCTCATCCACCAGTTCCACCGTGCCCGGGGTATTGTAGGACACCTTACCGTCTGCGTCCTGGGTGACAATGTCATTGACGCACTCCGCAACAGCACTAACATCAGTGGTTGCACCGATCCTTGGCACATCCTTGCGGATGGCTTTATCCATGGGTGGCCCCTCGGAGATCTTAGTGACGTCGGTTGCGTCAGCGGCATCTGGGGCTTCCCACATCTTGTCCTCCTGGGTGACCGGCATTGGCTTTGCCTGTTTCGGGTTCATGAGCTGGTCCTTCTCCGCACGCCACTGCTTGAAGACATCCTGGAGCACTGGATTGTTGGCACCGGAGCCAGTCTCAAAGTGCTCATAGCGAACAAGCAAAGCCCTGACACAGGGTGTCATCTTCTGGGCAAGCCATTCGCTCCTGCTTGCATTGAAAGTCGCATGCAAGTAGGTCTGGAATAACTCGCGGTTGCGAGGGTCTTCACTGGCGTGAAAGCTGTCATACATTTCCAGCTTTTCGACCAAGGAGCTCGCGGTTTGCACTTGCAGACCGCGCTGCCTGAACTCTTCGAACATAGCGGCATTGAAGTCGTTGTAGGCTGAGTGGAGTTGGAACAAGTCCGCCTCCACCTGCCCAATCACCTTCACAAAACCAATGTCCGGCTCGCCCGCGAGGGCGGCTAAAACATCCGCTGCCCTTCTCACTTTCCGTGCGACGGTCTCCGTTGTGACATTGGGATCTCTGTAGGCGAGTCCCGGTCCTAGCCGCGTGGGGATGCAGCCCCACTGGCCGGAGATCTCGTTCCCGCACCACCAGCAGATCACGTCGATGGTGTGGTCCGGATAGTTGCTCCGGAGCTCCTTCACATGCTCCTCGACCTGCCAGACAATCCACGCCAAGGTTTTACCCCAACACATGGTGTAGCGAGTCTGTGCCCATCCCAGCGTCCAGCTTGCGATGTTCACTTCCGCATCCAAGTCGGCCTTGACGAACACTCCCCGCCTGTTCTTCTTGCAGAGTGCAGTGGAGCTGTCTGACACGACTATGATGGCTCGCTTGGCCTTGGGGCTCAACCTTGCGGTTGGCTTCAACTTGGCGAGTCCCTCGTCACTGAGGTCAGCCATCTGGCGCAGAGCCACACAGGTTGCGTCGGCATGGGTCAAGGATACCCCAGCCGCGCATTGTGTGGATACGCAGCTGTACGCCGACTCCAAGAGCTGGCTCTCATGATCGGCGCCGAGCGAAATGATATCGTTGTTGAGGGCGGCGGATTGGAGAATGGTTTTCATGGCCTTGGTAACTCCAGCCCTGTCTGCTTCGGAGGTGTTGACCCTGCAGAACTCGTCGCTCACAACGATGGCTGCCATCTTGGGGATCGTAGAAGTCGCTTCGGGCAAGTCGAGAAGATCAGAACCAGCTGAAATTGCAATGGCAGGCGTGCACATAAAGGAAGCCAAGATTTCATGGTCAAGGCTTGCAGTTTGTTGTGTGTTTGTGCACTCGAGCGATGTGTGTGCAAACGAATCATTTTCGAAACGAGAACACGGTTTGTTAAGCCTACCCCCCTCATCGAGAGGGGAACCAACACACCTCAAACAAACCATTGCCTTCTGAGCTGGGAGCTTCAACTGAGCCGTAGGCAAGAGGAACTGTGATTGATGTAGGAATTGCTTTTGCTTTTTGTTGAACTTCTGGTACCCCCCTGAAGAGTAGGCGATGAAGGAATGTCGTTCGCCAGTGTAGGGTTGTACACCATGTTTTGTCGATGGATGCAACAGAGTAGGCTTGCGGTATGTGTTGCAATTGTAGCCTTTGTGGTCTTTGCCATGATCATCTGTGTATATTCCCGGTGGTCCCAACTGGCTCGCGCCCTCAATCCACAGTGTCCCCCCTGTATAGTTACCGAAGGAGAACGTCAGGTTGTACGATTCTTTCTGATTGTACTTATCCGTGTGGATGCGGGCCTTGCCATTGAAGTTGAACACGAACGAAGTCCATGTAAACCCTTTCGGAGATGATCGCTTAACAAATTCATTCACATACCTGCAAATCCATGGGTAATATTTTGTGCGGTTGGTAATACCAAAGCACCCACCATGGACCCAAGCGCCGAACACCAAGTATTTGGATATGTTCTCAGAAGCCATAAACGATCGCGGTTTTGCCAATGATGCCTTGAGATTGGTACGAATAAGCCCAGCTAGCTTCTCGAAGGTCTTGAAGCTGTAATCGTTAGCCTCGAACGATTGTTTAGCGAAGTCCTCGACAACCTTTGATGCAT